TATATATATATATATATATATACATATTCTATATTATTTTATATTATACTTGGATATAAAATAGAATTTTAAAAGTCCCACAAGTATAATATATAATATTATACTTGGCCCTAAATTCTCTTTTATAATATAGTAGAATTTCAAAACAATTTAGCATTAATTTTTTTTTTATATGCAAAAATATCACTAGTTAAAATACGAAAAAAAAAAACTAAAAAAACTTTCTTTATCAGTTTGCATTCCACAAAACGTTCCTAAAATTCGAACTGATGAATGTTTGAATTCTTTCATTCAATGAATTTGCTACCGCAGCGATTCATTTTTCGTTTTGGATTTGCCTCTCAAACGTCAACTTTCAAAGGAAACTATCCATGCTCAATCCCTAGCCATGGAAGAAGAAAATTCAGTGCAACTACTCTCTCCTTAGCTACTCCAAAGGTAATATTGAAATTAATGTACAGAGAATTTAACTATTTTTCTGCAATTTTTGGTAATATATGTGTTTTTGGTAAAGTAGTCAGGTGAAGAGCTTTTGTTAGTAGTAGGGGGCGGAGCAGCTGGAATTTACGGTGCTATAAGGGCTAAGACTCTCGCTCCGAATCTTAAAGTTGTTGTTATTGAAAAAGCGAGACCTTTGTCAAAGGTAATTGATACAATATTCTCAAAGTGGAGAATATTAATTTTGTGTTTGTAATGTGGAAAGTTTTGTTCTTTTGTTTTGGTAGGTCAAAATTTCTGGAGGAGGTCGCTGCAATGTGACTAATGGGCATTGTCCTGACAACAAGGTAAAATTCTCTTTGCAATTTAAAGATATGTTCTATGCTTAGTAAGTTGTAGAATTGGTGCCCAAAGCTTGATGTTCTTAGATTATGACACTTCTGGAAGAGTGACTTTTATTTATCTGTAGTTCTTGGAATTCAGAAAATACTGCAAATTATACCTTAGGGATTTGAAGATAAGTACCTTTTAGCCTAGGTTTGCACATGAAAAATCGAAGATACAAATAAATAATTGAGTTAAAATAGAATTTTTTTTGTTTGATGTCTCAACTCCCTCAGTCCAGATTTTGCATTCCTTTATACTGATTGAGTAGGATGTTTGTCTGTAGGCTATAGTTTATTAGAGTTATAAAATCAACTTAAATAACTGAGCCAAGAGTACAAGTATGTTTGTGTTCTTTTCTTTTTTTCTTTCCTAAAAGGTGCTCATAGTCGAGTATCATTTTCAACTTCAGATATGTGGTGTTTTAGCAGCATATAAGTCAAGCTCAACCGAAACCAAACTCTTTTGCAGATTTTGGCTGAACAGTATCCAAGGGGTCATAAGGAATTTAAAGGCTCCTTTTTCCATACTCATGGTCCAATGGATACAATGTCCTGGTTCTCTGATCATGGTGTTGTGTTAAAAGTAATCTCCGAGACTACCTTTTTTATGTTTCTTTTCTTCTTGTTGATGTTAACGTGTAGTTCTGCTGATTTTGCCTCAGATAGAGGAAGACGGAAGGGTCTTTCCCGCCAGTGATAGTTCATCTACTATAATTGATTGTCTCATGTCTGAGGCAAAGAGGAGTGGAGGTAGATAAACTATTCTATCACAATTTTATTTTATATTTTGTCATAGTTATTTGGGAGCATGTATGGTTGCATAAGCTTTTACTTCTATTCACATTATACTCCTTGTACATTCATATCCTTAGAAGTTCTCCAGGGGCAAGGGTGCCTATATCTATTATCTAAATTGTCTGTTTGAATAGCTTTGGACTTTCTACTCTTGTAAGGTCACACTTCCCTGAAAGCAAAAGTTTTCTGTTAGCTCGTGTGTGTTTGCATACACTTATCTACACGTACACTGACACTTGCTTATACAGAATTTACCGGTCAACTTGAAGCCAAGTATATGCCAAGAACATCTTGGAATTTGAGACATGTGATCCTTCAATTTTCTTTCTTATTGTAAAATATGGGAGACCGGAGATAGAGTGACAAGTTAAACAAATTGGAATAAGGAAAGATGAACCTCATCTCTATTCAAACTATAAAATTATTAGCCCAATATTATCCCCTTTGTAATCAAACAACAACATACCCAATATAATCCCACAAGGTGGGGTCGGGGGAGGATAGAGTGTACGCTGACCTTACCCCTACCTTGTGAGGTTAGGGATACACTATACCCTTTGTAATCATTCTACTTAAAGCATCCACTACCAAGATGTTTATGAAATTGTTTCAGGGTTAGAACTACTATAGATCAAGGCTAGATGTTGAATAATCATGATGCTAAATGACTACGTTAAACTTGGCTATTTAAACAAAGAAACTATTCGGAAACATGATGCTCATCTATATTTACTCTGCAAAACTATTAACCCAACAGTCTACCCTTTGTAATCATTCTGCCTAAAGCATTCAGTGCCAAGATGTGTATGAAATTGTTTCAGGGTTAAAACTACTATAGACCAAGGTTAGATGTTGAACAATCATGAAGTTAAGGTCCATGTTAAGACTCCATGCACCCGGTGCATACTTATAGTATGTTACCTTCTTTAGTTGAAGTTTTCTCAATTATCCTCAAGTGTATCTATTCTGTTTCAATCACCAGTTTGACATGGAAAAGTTCTGCCTTAAACTAAAATAGCAATATTTTGAAAGTCTCGTGCATTTTTATGCATTTTCTGTGTAGTTTACTTCATACTTGTGATGATAAACAAGTTATATCAACCAAAATGTGCAACTTACGGATGACATATTTCATGGGCTATACCCAAAAGCAGATCGCTGAATATTGTGAAGGAAGTATGCTCCTAATCTGAGGTTCTGAACAGCTCTGCACTATCAGCCTTCTATATTTCTTTGACATTAAACTTAAATTGCTCTATCATCTACACTGGCGAGTTAAAATATTAAATATCTGTCTCGTTGTGCTGTACCATGAATCCAAATACCCTCATGCTAAGCAAAAGGATCAAATTTAAAATTTCTTTCATTTCTCAAAAAAAGAAAAGAAAAAGGAGAGAATGTTCAGACCAGAAGATCTCAGAATGTTTAGGCTTGCGCATCCTTAGCTATGAATCTTGAGCAGTTAGATTACGTATTTGTAATTTGTGAGGTATTCCATTTCCCTTTTCCCTATCAAAATGCTGATATGCCAGTTCCTTATTTAGTCTTGTTGCAGACTGGAAAAGTTGTTACTAGTGCTTCTTCCACTGCTGATGGAAAGTTTGCCATTAAGCTTGAGAAACGTAGCCTTGATTATGTGGAACATGTTGAAGCTGATTATCTACTTATTGCTAGTGGGAGTAGTAAGCAGGTCAGTTTGGTAATGAGTTAGTAGCACTTTTTGCATCTATTCCTTCCCTTCATTTCCATCTTTTCCTGTTCAGGGTTATAATCTTGCCACTCAACTTGGTCATTCAATTTTGGAACCGGTTCCAAGCCTGTTCACTTTCAAGATTGATGACTTGAAGTTAGCAGAACTGTCTGGTGTAGGTTTCTTTACCATTTGCAGCCAATTGAGTGAAATCAGTCTTTGAGGTGTTTGGCTGCTACTCCTTATGTTTTATATCACATCAATGAAGATATAGCTTGTTAATTATGTGTTGTCAATAGTTCCTTCTTTCCTGAATCATGAATATACTCGGGGAGATGATTTATATGTCTCGTAAGTATTTTTTTAATAATTTTTTTGGATTCAGATACTATTGGTTTTCAAATAGTAGTATTAAGGATGACCTACCTCTGATTGTCAGTCAACTATCTGCACTGAGAATTGATTCTTTCCTCTATTCTAGCATTTAATATGTCTTATGAGACACTAGTTCCTTTTGACTTCTACCAGTGCTACCTTGCATGCTTCAAATTTCTATGTTCTTTAAGTACTGAGCTAGTTCTTCTCCGGAATATGTGCGATTGCTATATAAAAACATGAGTTTTGTCTCCCCTGTAAAATCACCTTTATTAAATTTTAGGTGATGCTTTGGTGTTATATATATTCTGGGACAATGTGCACTGATCGTACCTTTTCGTCTAATGACATAGTGATCTTTGATTTATTCCTTAACAGAGTTTCCTTTAACTTATGTATATTTTAACTGGTTCATTTTTATTTTGTTTTGCTTGAAATTTATATTAAAGTGAACACCATATTATACTCCATCCTTTTCAATTTGTTTGTCTTAGTTTAACTTGACACCGAGTTTAAAAAAGTAAAGAAGTCTTTTGAATCTTGAGGTCTTAAACTAAATATATGTATAATGTACCAAAATGTTTTAAACCTGCCATGTGGGATGTTGAAATTCAAGAGTTGCCAAATTAGGAAAGAGGCTTCTTTCTGAAACAGCCTAAAAAGGAAAGTAACACAAACAGATTGAAACATAGGGAGTATATATTACAAACATCATTTGCAATTTTGTGTTGATTATTAAAACAGTTGTGACATACTTATCACACCTTTGAGTACGTGAATATATTCATGCCTATGACTGACAGTAACCATTTTGCTTGTCATCCATAGGTAACATTCCCAAAAGTAAAAGCAAAATTACAGTTGGAAGGCATCCAGAAGAAAATACCACAGCTTACTCAGGTATGCACTTCTGATTGGTTGCATTTCTTGGATAGTATATTTGTACTGCAGAACAATAATACTATCTTTTAGGTAGGACCCATGCTTGTAACCCACTGGGGACTCAGTGGGCCTGTGGTTCTTAGGCTATCTGCTTGGGGGGCACGTTATCTATCCAGTTCAAACTATAAGGGTAAAAAATGTTTTCCTTCTTCTGTTTTTGTCATTTTCTCTTTACCACAACCTTTTCTCTTGCTAAATTTAGTTGCAAACACATCCAGGTACGCTTTGCGTGGATTTTACTCCTGACCTCCCTATTGAAGATCTAAAGTCTGCACTCACTCGTCACAAGAGTCAATTTTTGGTAATACATTCGATGACCTGAATTGAAGCTAAAGGCTTTGATTCCATATAAACAGTTTTGTCAAATATGGGAAATGTCTGGAAGAGAACAGAAAGCTGTCCTCCATGAGAAGAGAACTACTTTTATCAAAAAAACAGAAAGGAAAGAAAGATACAGGAACTAATACTTGAAATTACATTAAACATTTGCATTGTAGATTGAGCAACTGTATCCATGGATCCTTCATTTGTTTTGAAGTACATGTGATGTGAGCGGTTATGGGTTCCTGTGAAATACATAGCAAAAAAAGGTGTATATATCTCTACCCAGTACTCACACACACTCATATAAGATATTTTCCATGGTCCATATAAGATATTTGAGCAGCAATAGATAGTTCTACTAATTTATTGAACCACATAAACAGATTGTATGAGATGTACTCATGCTTAGGGTTCTTTAACTATTGATCAATCTTATCAAAAGAAAAAGGTTCTGAAACTATTGATAGTTGTCTCCTGCAAAATAATATCTCATCATGACAAGAAAGCATATGATTTCTGATTTGTATAGGATCTCACTTCACCACTTTCCTTATTGTTCTCTTCAATGCAGAGGCAGAAGGTGCTGAATTCTTATCCTTCTGAACTTGCGGTTGTGAAAAGATTTTGGAAGTATATATTAGATCGTGAGGTAAAAATGTTTACTTCAGTTGCAAGGATATTTTTGGGCTTCTACATAAAAATATCTTCTCAGAATGTTTGATGTCCACTTCTATTTTTTTAAATTTCCTTTTCGATTAATGCAGGGCATATGTGGAGACATGCTGTGGTCCTCCATTTCCAATAATTTGTTAATTTCTGTCGCTGCTTTGTTAAAAGATTGTGCATTTAGCGTGAAGGGAAAGGTATCATGTCTCTTCCCATTTCTCAGACTCATTTCTGCTTTTGATGTCATTACTTTGATTGAAAAGAAACTTTCTGTTGCATTCTTTTTGGGGTAATGAAGGGCCAGTTTAAGGATGAGTTTGTCACAGCCGGAGGTGTTCCACTTTCAGAGGTGCTCCCTTTTCTTTTCTTCCTGTCTATATATGCCTTCCAATGCGCCAATGTGAAGACCCTTTCAATTTAGCTAAATTAATTTCTGAGAGTTGCAATCTTTCTATTTCTTCAAACAGATCTACCTTGATATGATGGGGAGCAGGATCCATCCGCATCTCTACTTTGCTGGAGAGGTTGTCTAACTAATGCCTGTGGTTTACTTCTCTTGCTTCAGGTGCAAATGTAGGACACAGTTTACGGCTTTCCATATTTGTTTCTGATTCTTTGAAAATCCTGTAGGTAGTCAATGTTGATGGTATTACTGGTGGCTTCAATTTTCAGGTAATATGAGCTTGATCTGAATCCACAGGGTAGAATTAACAAGAAAAGCGTCATGTTCTCTTTATTATATACTTATTACATATGCATACATATATATATATATATATATATATATGTATCTATAAGTCTGATGGGTATACTACAAAGAGAAGGCAATTTTTTTTTTGTGTAAACAATCTGTTCAGCCAAAACCTTTATCTTATAATCATATTACTATTTGGTGTATCATTCAGAAACTGAAGAAGTGTAGGTAGCAAATAAAATTGGAATGCAGTGGGTCCAAATGAAAAGAGAAAAAGTGAGGGTTCATATAGCCTATTACAACTATCTTAGGATTGAGGAATATCAATTCCACCACGCACCAAAAACAAATCATATTGTTGATGTAGTTGGTGGATACTGGATAGTGAAAGTGTGCTGTAGTTGGTTTATTTTTAGATAAATACAGTAGGAATCCTTGTAAAGTAAAGTCATGGTCCACCTACTTTAAACAACTATATTGGTGCTCATCTTTTCCGCATCTTCTTATAAACAGTAGACTGGAAATGCCATTTTGTAGAGACTTTGTACTTTCAAAGTGGTCGTCGTCGTCATTGTCTTAAGAAATTTGTTTTAAGTTTTCTTTATTAACTTAATATAAAAAAAAATTGGGTTTTTATATTTCTGTAATTCCAGTTTTCCCATGATGTTTAGTCCTACTAGACATAAAACATGAAGATTTTTCTTGGACTCTTTACGCTTACAGCAGTGATGATCTGCTCCCTTTGTATATTCCTTTACAACACTTTATTGTTGCTTGAGTTTCAATGGGTAGCCTTTAACAATAAAAAAAAGAAAAAGAAAAGAACATGATATAGATTTTTCCTTGTCAAAAAGACATGATAGACTACCTTAAGTTAAATCTCTTAGGAAAATAACAGACTAAATATGTTGTATTAGAAGGAAGTTGTACTGACATTAATTTGACCTATTAGGGTACTTATAAATAATTGGTTGGATAGTTGTTTTCTGCTAAAAATGACTTATTTTGATATTTGATGTTATATCATGTAATTTACTAATGATTACCCTACACGATATTACCTTTCTCTAAGATTCTTTATCGAACTATTTTGCAATTTCATTTAGCAAAGTTTTGATACAGCAATTCTATATTATAAATTTAATTTTTGATGTATGACCGATTTTATTTATTGTAAACGTCTTTGTTCAACGAGATTATCTTTAGTGTTGAACCCCTCTACATATCAAACATGCGTCCCGATGGATTTGTGATTGATATTCTAGCAAATGTGAAACCAGACACTGATAAAGCTGATATCGCTGTTCTTACAGATGATATGCTGTCTTGCTCCTAAAACACATATTCACTGTCTGAACTAAACCTACTTTACCCATGTGTCTTGTTTCCTATTTTCGTTTTCTATTCCTTCTCTTTATATATATATTGGGATTTCAGCTGGCTACTTTTTTCATCTGATTGTTTAGCACTTGGCCAACTTGCAGAATGCTTGGACAGGGGGATACATTGCAGGAACAAGTATCGGTAACCTAGCTGTACATGAGAGAGTATATCAGTAAGTTATGCAGTAATTTGGAGATATTGAAGAGCTGATGAAGTTTTTTGAAGTGGCAATTCTCCTAGTTATGTCTAACTCATTTTTTTTTTTATAAAAGGGAAAAGGCAAGTGTATCAAAAGACTTGTGTATAAGTTCAGGTAGTGAATTCTCTTCGGAATGAATGAGAATAGTTACTGATAGTATGAATTCTCGTTTTGCATCAGTGACCTATTTTATAAGAGATCCTTCATTTTTATATCTATCTAAAAGATCTGCAAAAGTCATTTTTTTTTCTATTCAATTTGTAAGTGGTCAGAAGAGATCATTTCCTCGTGACACTGTATATGTTGCTTGAATATTTCATTGGCTTGATGTAATTGTGTCAAACGGGTTGAATAATAGCATGTGAAATGCTATTAAGAGCTTTTAAGTTTCCAGGAAACCTCATTGACCAAGTTAATAAAGAAATTTTCCCGACTGTGATTGCACCTAGAGGTGTCAAAAATGAACCCAATTATAGGTAATCCGTCCAGAATTTTAAGGGTTGGGTTCAAGATAATTAAAATTGGGTTCAATCTCAACCCATTCAAGTCCTAACCCATTTTAAGAGAATCCTCAATTGAGCTCAATTTAATCTCTAATTTCAACCCGTTTTAAAATTCTTTATTTGCATTGATATAAATTGTAATATATGTTCCTATATTGAAAGTATGAATTACTATCTATTTATATCTTTTAGAATTTATATACCATTTGTAACTTTTTTTTTCAAATTTTCTTGAGTTAAAATTCAAAAATTGTGGCTATAAAACTTAAATAATAATAGATTAAAATTATTGAGATTGAGCGGGTCAAATTGGCGGATCAAGATCCAACCCGTTTTTAAGCTTATTTGAGCCCAACCCAATCGAGCACAAAGTAAACTTGGGCGGGTCAGAATCCAACTCAATTTCTATTTCAACCCATTTTAATATTTTCAATTTCAATCCAACCCGCTTATTTGACCAAGTTAATAAAGAAATTTTCCGGACTGTGATTGCACCTATTAATATTCCTCAAAATAAAATTATGGATACGTAATTGCAACACAATTTTCAGTTACGTGCTGAGTTTCTTGTTGAATATTCTCCAAATTGGTTTTGTTTGATTTTTCAAAATGTTGAAAAGTACATGGAGTTTTTGGGTGTGTTTGGTATGAAGGAAAATATTTTTCATGTAAAATGTTTTCCTAGAAAATGTTTTCGTGGAAAACAAGTAGATTTTTGACTTATTTTCTCATGTTTGGTTGATGAGTAGAAAATATTTTCCGTAAAAGATTTTTTAGTGTTTGATTTATGAATGAAAATTATTTTTGAGAAAATATGTAGAAAATAATTTTTGAATTGAAATTGAAAATATTTTTTAAAAATAAACTTAATTTTTTTTGG